GGTGGAGGCGTGATGGGAAATGCAAGGTTCCCACTGTCGTAGGGCATAATGGGAGACCTAACACAGACAGGCCACGGTCCAGGCTTCTCTGTCCTCTGAGAGAGTCTCTACATAGTCGTTCTCACAGTGGCACTGGTGATGTCCCTCCCCGTTGCAGGCCCAGAACGTCTACACGGGTGAAATCATCAGCGGCCTCCGTGACGACACCAACTTCACAGTGGTCATCAACCCTTCAGGGGTGGTGATGTGGTACCTGTATCCCATCAAGAACCTCGGGATGCCCCAGCAGTGAGGAGCTGGCTGTGTGACAGAGGCTGTGGTGGCACCACTGGGCCCAGGCCATGGAGCCTCAGCGTGGCGAGCGCCAGTGGGCAGGGCTCCTTGCTGCCAGCCGCGCTTGGCGTACTGACCCCATCATGCTCAAACTGTAATCTCAGAGCCAGGTTCCACGCCCTGCCCAAATGTGGACACATTTGGGAACTTGTCTCAGGGAAACTTCCTATAGCCTTCTGGCCCCTACCTCGTCTGGACGACCCCAGAGACGTTGCTGAATAACTCAGCCAGCCTCTTGAGCCTCCACAGATAGGTGCTTATTCCCAGCAGGAGCCCAGCCTCTGACCCTGTCTTTGTTGACTTTGAAATCAGGACTTGGAACGTTTCTAGTGGAAATCTGACTTCTGTCAGGGGCCCCCCTGATTGTGTGATTGGTTTTCCTACCTGGAGAAGGCCTTGCCAAGTGGTACTGCCTGGGAGTAAGGGTCAGAAAGAGACATCAGCACCCTCAAGCCACCAATAAAGCTGTTCTTGAGTCCAGTGGTTGTAAGATGGACCTGGGGCCTGGCCGTCTCCAGGTGTGGATTCTGGGTGGTACTGCAGAGGGTGCCGGTTTAAAGGCTGCCTCACGTGGAAGATATGTGGTATCTTCTGGCCCCTCATTTTCCCAGTGCTGATTGTTCTTTCTAAAAATGCCAGGCTTCCTCATGCCAGGGAGCCATCTGGCTCTGCCTGGCGCAGTGGTGGTGTGTCAGGGTAGCAGTGTTCCCAGGCCCTCTCTGTCCCATGCACCCTCCCCAATTCACATGCTCCTGGGTCTCCCGGCCACCCCTCCCCCTGCCAGCTGCACAGCGAACGGGCCTGATCTCCTAAGAACTTCATGTTACTGTCTTAGGCGTCTTTCAGCTCATCTGTCCTTTTCTGAGGTGTCCCTAGGTGGTGTAAA